CTGGCCTTGACACTCGCTAGCAGCCTGGCCTTGGCACGAGCTGGCAGCCTGGCCCTGGCACGAGCTGGCGGCCTGGCCCAGGCACCGAACTGGCGGCCTTACACAAGCGCCAACCTGACAACCTCGAGGAGCTCACCACCGTACCCCGCATTTTACGGGATTGTGACTTGTAACGGCTATATTAGCTCACCCACTCCCCGGTTCTGACGAGAAGGGACAGTTTTACCGTTTGATGGCATTTCATCCACCTAACACGCAAGCCAGTCCCATCACAGCTGGGATCCAGTAACTGATCCACCTAAACCATGAGGACTCCAGTATATAAAGACCTCACCCCAGAGGCAAAAAAGGATGAAAAGGATGGTAACCCCTGCTCTCTAGCTCTCTCATTCTTTAATATCTTCTTCAACCGCTCTACTATCAAAGTGCTAACTTAGCCATCGGAGTGACCTCGCCGCTTTAACACCCCTGGGTTCTCTGATTCAGTTCTTACAGGTCCCTCAGCTCCCGCCGTCTACAAAGATGAGTTGATCATCTTCTGCAGGGAGCAGTCAGGTTTCACCACCAAGCAGCTCATCAAGGTAGCTCACCGTAGGGCAGTTAGCCACCAGGTAGCTCACCACCAGCAGTTCATCTAGAAAGCCAGGCAGCCCATCAAGGTATCTCACCTCTAGGCAGCCCATCAAGGTAGCTCACCTCCAGGCAGCCCATCAAGGTAGCTCACCACCAGGCAGCCCGGCACCAGGCAGTTCGCCACTAGGTAGCTCGCCACCAAGGAGTTCCACTTCAGCCTCTGAGTCACCGATCACATGAGAGTAGACGAGATGACGAGGTACTTAGCCAAAAAATTGACACATCACGGAAAAATGATACGTGACCGGAAACGGTTACATCACCAAGGTTCCAAGCAACTTCCATTAATTCTATCAATACAAAGTGAACTCCTGGCCCTGGATCTATAGCAGCTCATGGCTGCTCTTAGACCTGATCCATGGACCAAATCGTCGGTGGGCTTTGTTAGGTTGAATACTCATGGAGCAGTTGGACCTTCAAATTTTGAGAATTCAGCTTGCTCACTGCCTTTATGCTAAAGCAGTGTGGACTTCCTTCCCACTAATCTCTGTCTGCTTGAATTGCATCATACATTGCCATCTTGTATTATAAGATGTGCGGTGCAGAGTTATGTAAATAAGGCAATGGGTAGAGAAAGTGAGTAGGAAATCTGAATTCCTCTCAAATATATCCAATCCACAACTTATAGAAGTGATGATAACCATTTTTGTAGGGTTCAAATTTGCATTCGAACTTGGAGTTTCACATATTAATTGTAGTTGAGGGCGACGTCTCTACTATATTCAAGTCCGAGTTGGTGGAGTCTGTGAACTTTGATGGATAGCAAGTTTTGTGTTTGCATTGAAAATTAAAGAGTAGAAATACAAATATACATATAGTACAAATACATTGTAGGCCCTGTTTGATGATTAAGTACTTGTTAAAAGATTGGAAATACTTATTTTAACAATCCTTTAGTTGTTTGATAACTCACTTTTTCAAATCACTTATTATGTTTTTAAGTATTTATTGAGGCGGGAATGTTTGGTAAACTACTTTCCCAATAAGTGCTTATATTTATACAAATGACAATTTTAGCTCTCTCCATTTCATACTTCTTCCTTTTCTTCTTCAGAACCCCTAGAAATCCACTGTTCATCATCTTCCTCACGACACAGAACTACATGGCAGTGAATTCATTCTGATCTCCACCTTCTACCATTCCATCCTCCTTGAACAGTCAAACTTCCTTTCTCTTACATTCGGAGCTCGACTCCAGCCAGTACTTAATCAATCCATTTCATAGACAAAAATCATATTTTTCCTTTCATCTCCTTTCCTCTTGATCAGAATTATTGCTTATATTAGTTTTTTTTTTACTAATAATCGTCCGATATTTATTAAAATGACCCTCTTATGTTTTCATTTCAAAAATTTCTGTCCACTTTGTTTTCTTTATTGCAATCAGAGATATAATCTGAGTACATATATAGGAAGGAATTACCGGTCCGTTGAGCAAGTACACAACAAGATTGATGGGCGCTGATTTGGGAGTTTGTTTTGGGCTTTGGATTCCTACAACTGTTTGGGAGTTTGATTCCCAGAGATCTGAATCTGAGAATTCCACCGCTTTTTTGGAGTACATCTAAGTACATATTTGGGAGTTTGACTCCTACAGCCGTTTTACATGTATTGTAAGAACTTCCACCGCTTTTTTATTCTTATACTAAGAAAGGTGTTGGGTGTTGTTGTATCTCTGTCGGTTGTATTATACACCCAACTCCGTTGGCAAGAACGACTGTATTATACTGAGAATGATGTTGGACTTGCAAGAACGGTTGTATTATACACCCAACTCCGTCGGTTGGCTTTTGCTCACCGTCGAACATCACCGGTGGACCTGCAACCAAACACCGTTATTGCCTGTTGTTGTAGGGTTTCAGATGGAAGATGATAAACTCAAGTGGGGGTAATTTTGTCATTGAAAAAAAAACAAGGACAGGTTTGTCCCATTCAAATGAAGTACTTTAAAAAATGCTGAAAAAAAAATCACATCTATATCACTTTTTTAAGAAGTACTTTTTTTAATAATAAGTACTTCTTACTCTCTTTTTTAATAAATATGCATAAGTACTTAAAAACCACTTAATGTATGATCCCATGTCTTAAAAGAAATACTTATTTCCAATAGAAGGGTTATGGAAGCTATCCCCTATTGCCTAGTCACCTGAAAAAGACAAAGAGTTGATTAGGACGTGACTGGTACTGTGGTGTCAAAAGTGTGGTATATTTCAGACTACTGGGCCCCACCATTATATGTTTAAAGGCGTTAGTTCTGAGACCTTGTTCCAAGATATTGGGATGTGAAAAATAATTTTTAATGCTAAATCAATGTTTTATAATTAGGCCTGTAAATGGGGCAAATTCGAATATGAATATGGTTTGATTCGAATTAGAAACTGCAAGAAATTATTCCAATTCGATTTGATATCCGACGTATTTTTAAAACAACCAACTGAATTCGAATTAGTCTAGTAAGTTAGAATATCTAAATTTGATTTAAATTCGATTGACATAAAATGAATAAATAAAAATAAAAACATATCAGTAGTGCTATAAAAAACCATTTAACTATAGTAGAGATTAGGTTGGTAACAATCTCAATCTTGAAATTGAAGAAATAAACTTTTGAATTTCAAGTACAAAAATATAAAACAATGTAAGGATTCAAGATTGGTCTCTTAATCCATACGAGAATGGAAAAAAATGTTCGCATGTTGCAAGGATGAAAGGACAACAAAAATGGATCCAAAGAGGTATTCAAAGCCGAGAGTGATAGCAATGTGAACAAGCCACACCGTGGTTTTGCTGAAGGTTTTCTACTATAGAGCCGCATTCTTTAACATAACTGTAACTTTGTGATTGATGGTACTTCTTTGATGAGTTAGTGAGGTATTTGAAGATATGATTCATCAAACCTTTAAGCTGCGAGCCTATGACCCATGGCTTGCCAGCCACCACCTGAGAGAGAGGAGAGAGAGAGACCGATGACTGCCATCCCTTGTAGAACACTATTTGAGAGAGGGATGAAAAGCGGCTACAGGGATTTGGAGGCCTGTAACCGGGAAGAATAGCCAAATGAAAATGTAGAAAAATGTAGAGAAAATCAAATAAAAAAGTAACAAAAGAGATGGTCGGGCTTCCCCTTAAAAATATTAAAATACCATTTTTTTTTTTAAGTTATGAAATCAAAAAGTAATGACAAATGGATGGGTGGGCTTTCCCTTAAAAATATTAAAATATCAAATTTTCTTTCAAAAGTTTATGATAGTTTCTCTTTACATTGTCTTTTCACCGATTTTTATTTACTAAAATAATATTATGTTGGACGGTTTTATAAAAAATCATCATGGTTTGCCATTCAACAATTAGTAAAATAATATTTAAAAATGAATATTCATTAACACAAATATCGATAGATAGATATATAATTTATATATTTATAATACCTGTAATCAAATCGTCTAATATTCGAATTCGATTCCATTAAATAATCGGTATTAAAATCATATTCAAATTCGATCATTCATACGATTCGAAATATTCAAATTCCATTGGTTTAACTTGATTTCGAATTCCAAGTCGAATTTTCAAATATCGTTTACAAACCTATTTACAATTAAAAAAGGGATGTGTATTTTGAAACACGAAAAATAAACATGTTTCAAAATTTGTAATATTTTACATTCTAAAATCTAAAGCCAATTTCAACTGCTTCTGATTCCAGAACACTCAATGTCCTAAAAGATCATGTGGCCTTCATGGTATGCTTTTGAACTTGCTGAATTGAATAGAGTACCGAATACCCCCTAATTATTTGGACTTATCGAATAAATACTATTTGGGCTTATTTCCTAAATGTAAATAAGCCTTGTTGATGTGGTCCCATGATCCCATCCCAAAATGGGTGGTTATTCGAACAAGTTCAAGCACTCGAAAACTTGGCCTAACTAAATTATACGAGTTTTGAATTTGATGACTCGGCTCTATATTTGGAGGGACGCCCAATGACCATCTCAGCTAATTCGGATATGTTTAATGTGGTCACATCCCAAATTGGTGCAGATTTATTTGAGCCCCTGTGGCAATGAACCATTTACCATTTGAAGACAATAAAGCGGATTCGGATGATCCAAACCCGATAGGGTCCGGATGCGGCAGTACGGATTCATTACAGTTACAGCCCTAGGGCTCCATGGAATCCGGCCCAAACCATTGCAGCCTCTTGATTTTGTCAATATCCAATTAGGCAATTTTCCACTCATTCCCCTACACTTGGACACCTCCTCTCCGCTTAGCTTCTTCTTGGAAACTTCATACGATGGCGAAAAAACGCGTTTACGAGAAGAATTTGCAGTCAAACTGAAAGTAACCCCATTGAAACAATCAACATGAACTGATGAACGATGATCTGGTTTATATGTAGAGCCATAGACGTTACCATGGCTCATTTTTTTTTCTCTTGCTTCGATTAAAATTTTTGTCTCAACATCTCTGCAGGAAAATGTCTTCCAATTACTACTCCGCTACAGACCCCTTCAGCAAATTCCAGACGATGGAAGACCAGTTCGGCAGTACATTTTCATGGATGGTAGCAGCTTCTATAAGTAAGTTATCCGATTTAATTCAAGACTTAATTCCAAATCCAACTTTCTGTTCAAAACTCAGCAATCCAACAGCCGGGACAATTAACAAGCTTATGGTTTTTGTTTGAATTGCAGTTTCTGTAGTGGTTGGTACAGCGGCAATTGTTGCGATAGTGTTTGCAATTATCAATTGCTTGAACAAAGTTGGAAGCGCGATACCCACGTATGCCCAGGTGGCAACCAGCGAAAGCTCTGTAACTTCAGCACAGTATGCTAGCAAATTATCCGCGGATACAAGCACCCATAACATCGAAGTGACTGTGCCACCAGCTTTCCCTGTGATAACAAATTCGCAGATGAGGACAGTGACTATCGAAAAGTTTCTGAGTGATATTGCCAGGGAGAGGCCTATCCGGTTTTCGCCTGAGCAAGTGGCAGGATTCACGAACAACTACTCCACCGTATTGGGTTCTGGTGGTTTTGGAGTAGTCTACATTGGAGAGTTTCCAAATGGAGTTAAAGTGGCTGTAAAAGTGCTCAACAGAATTTCTGACAAGAGAGTGGAAGAGCAGTTCATGGCTGAAGTAAGCACAATTGGAAGAACAAACCATGTCAATCTGGTTAGATTGTATGGGTTCTGCTTCGACGACACCCTGAGAGCTTTAATCTATGAATATTTGGAGAATGGGTCCCTCGACATGTTCTTGTTTGGCGGGGAACATGCAGTCGAATGGGAGAAGCTGCAAGAGATTGCAATTGGGACGGCCAAGGGAATTGCGTATTTGCATGAAGAGTGCCAGCAAAGGATAATTCACTATGATATAAAGCCTGGGAATATCCTTCTTGATCCAGACTTAACTCCCAAGGTTGCAGATTTCGGATTGGCCAAGCTTTGTAACAGAGATAAGACCCATGTAACCATGACTGGGTTGAGGGGAACACCAGGGTATGCTGCTCCAGAGCTGTGGAAGCCATACCCAGTGACCCATAAGTGTGATGTTTATAGCTTTGGAATGCTTCTATTTGAGATCATGGGTAGAAGAAGAAACCATGACCCTGATCTAAGCGAGACTCGGCAATGGCTCCCAAGATGGACTTGGGAAATGTTTAACAAAGGAGAGTTGGCAGACCTGATGGCAATTTGTGAGATTGCAGAGGAAGACAGAGTCAAGGCAGAGAGGATGTCTATGGTGGCACTGTGGTGTGTTCAGAGCTCCCCTGAAGCCAGGCCTCTTATGAGCACTGTGGTGAAGATGCTGGAGGGAGGAATCGAAATTGTCCCACCACCAAATCCATTTCAATATCTGGAGTCATCATCTCCAGATTTAGCAGCTTTTGGGGGATCTACCACAGGTTCAGACTCCTCATCAACAGTACAATCCTCTCAACCATGTTATTCCACTGCACGGAAGACAACTTTTGAGATAGAGATTGCTAATAGTTCATAGAAGCAAAGGAAATGGATTGGTTAATGTTTCAGATCATGTGTTTATGATGCATTTTCTTAATATTCAATTTAATTGCTGATCATCTGTCTGTTTCTTTCTGTATATAGAATGTAATATAATTATTCTGTTGTTTAATCATAATATTCTTATATCTGTTATAATCAAATATATGAAGCAGTTGAAGTTATTGAACATCAATAAAACAATCTTCGAAACAATCTTATTGAACCAACTATGCTAATAAACACACACTAGTTTCATGGGTAGATCAGGATTCAACCTGTTTCTAAATGGATCTGATTATTTATTTCAGACCTTCTTCGGTTTCTCTCTAGTATCACCACCAAATCATGCCATGTCGCCTTGAGTTGTGGATGATCTTATTGTCCAATCCACTAACATAGTCACCTCTCAATAGATTCAAAGTTTCAACAGAGGCGGCACTCACCTCTCAATAGATTCAAAGTTGCAACAGAGGCGGCACTACAGGAAGCAGAGTATAAAATGCAACTTCTACATTCTCAAGCGGCAGATGGAAACAGTAGAGATGATGTATATATATCCCTTTATCAAGAGCTTTATTGCATCACTAGGTGATGAAGGATGATTTGACCCGATTTATGAAACGGCGACACGTGGACACTGACTCGACATAGGCGACAGCTCAGCATTGCGGTCCAGTACGGCTAAGTAACGGGCCCATAAAGTAGCTCGCTACATCGTAGCGCACAAAAGGAGGAGCTCGCCACGACGCGAGCTCCGGGTTCCCCGAGCTGCCTTCAAAGGGATATTCCGAGGCAACCTTAGCTCGCAAGCTAAGGAAACCAGCTCGCCCGAGCTCCCAAGCAGACAAGTCATCCCGATGATCAATTCTACTAAGGGCACTCCTGAAGTACTCCGAGCTCGCTGAAGAGTAGCTCACGAATGAGTCGCACGAGCATTCCTTAGGAAGCTTCTATCCAACAGGCCGTACCAATCAGACTGCACCAAGTCCCTTACTGACGGCGTAGTCCCTATCCTTTTGGCAGTCTGCACTCACGTCTCTCAGCAGGCGGAGGTATGCCTATCACTTTGGGGACATGTCACTTACCCAAGCAAGGAGCACGTCACAACGGCCACCTGCGCAGCCTTGGCAGGTAACGGCTGTGGCAGGGGCCCAGTGGCGGTTATGCCCAGTCTCACAAAAGCGCCTCTATAAAAGCCCTCAGGGCAGAGGAGAAGCTTCTGGGGAAAAAAAACCTCTACTCGATCGAACATAGTGATAAGCGTAACCTCCACTCTTAGCCTTCGTTTTCTCTTTACTTCCCAGAATCAATACTAACTTAAGCTTCGGAGTATTCCCACCGGGTAAACCCTCGGAATCCTTCCTTTCATCTTCTCAGGTGTCGTTCGTTGCCAACAAGGAGCCAGTCAGCAGTCAGTTAGGAGTGTTCGGATCGCGCTACATCATTTGGCGCCGTCTTTGGGAAAGGGCCACCCCTCGGGGTTACAGACCACAAAGTAGTCTCGCTTCCAGGCGGGAATCTTATTCGGCAGCTCGTACAAGAGCTTATAGCCACGATGGGGAGAGAGGTAATAAAAGCGCCTCTCCAGAGGAACCCCAGGAGCAACGTTCTTTATACAAAGGATAGAGACGAAAATGTCAAGGTACAAAGGAAGACAGTACTTGTGACATAGGGATATGGTCCCAACCATATTTCGAACAGTGTTAGGATGAAGCTGGTCAATAGTGACGTTGAAGTGATTCAACACCTCCACTATCAAGGGGTGCAGGGGGAGGCGCAAGCCAGCCTCGAGCTGTTCTTGRAAGATTACTATATCATTAGGACCATGCTCCCAAGGGAAGTTGCCAGTAGGGAGGCTGTAAACCAGGTCCCGAGGAAGGCGAAAGTAGCGGATCAGAGACCTAAGTCTCTCCGCTGTCATTAAGGAAGGGCCAAAGGTATCAGGCTCCCTCCCCTAGAAGTAGACGCCATGTTGCCAGAGGCCTCCTGAGCCTTCGGGACATGCTCCAAGGCTCCTCCCGAGCTCGAGGGAGCATCATCATCTTGGCTATTGACCCTGTGATAGGTATGGCGTGGGTACCCAGACATGGCTGGCGGCGATTAGGACTCACTAGAGTAAATGGAACGGAGCAGAGTGAGGAACTCGAGTAGGCTAGGCGAAGTACGCGACCTCAGAATCCAAAAGATGGCGTGGAAGAAGATAGGGCCCGAGGGGGCCCCCTATTTATAGCCCCCATCCTTTCAAAATGACGGCCCGGATCAAAGCAAATCCAACGGTCCGCAGACACCCTGACCGCATGCCTTCTGAAAACCGAAGGTGATTGGCAGCACATCTTCCATAATTAAGGTAGTCGCAGCCGCACGACGTTCGGAATTAAAGGCCACCTCAGCACGTTTTCGGAATCCGAAAAGTCAGGGAAGTCAGAAGATCTCTTGATTCCCGCAAATGCATTTAATGGGGTATTCAATCAAATTTGAATTTCGGTCAAATCAGTCCATCGCGCTTCATAAACTCCCCGCACTAAGGCGATACTCTTAGCCCGAGGAGTGGGGGGCAATTGATGAAGGATGCTTTGACCTGATCTATGAAACGTCGACACGTGGACATTGACTCAATTTATGCGACAGCTCAGCATCGCGGTCCAGTACGGCTAAGTAACGGGCCCATAAAGCAGCTCGCTACAGCGCACAAAAGGAGGAGCTCACCACGACGCAAGCTCCGGGTTCCCCGAGCTGCCTCCAAAGGGATATTCTGAGGCAACCTTAGCTCGCAAGCTAAGGAAACCAGCTCGCCTGAGCTCCCAAGCAGACAAGTCATCCTGAGGATCAATTCTACTAAGGGCACTCTTGAAGTACTCCGAGTTCGCTGAAGAGTAGCTCACGAATGAGTCGCACGAGCATTCCTCAGGAAACTTCTATCCAACAGGCCGTACCAATCAGATTGCGCCAAGTCCCTTACTGATGGCGCAGTCCCTGTCATTTCGGCAGTCTGCACCCACGTCTCTTAGTAGGCGGAGGCATGCCTGCCACTTTGGGGACGTGTCACTTACCCAAGCAAGGAGCACGTCACAACGGCCACCTGCGCAGCCCTGGCAGGTAACGGCTGTGGCAAGGGCCCAGTGGCGATTATGCCCGGTCTCACAAAAGCGCCTCTATAAAAGCCCTCAGGGCAGAGGAGAAGCTTCTGGTGAAAAAAAAAACCTCCACTCTTAGCCTTTGTTTTCTCTTTACTTCCCAGATACAATACTAACTTAAGCTTCGGAGTATTCCTACCGGATAAACCCCCGGTAATCCTTCCTTTCATCTTCTCAGGTGCCATTCGTTGCCAACAATGAGCCAGTCAGCAGTCAGTTAGGAGTGTCCGGATCGCGCTATATCACTAGGGGTGAGCAAAAAAAGTGAAAAATCGAACAAAAAAATTGGTTAATCAAATCAGTCGGTTCGGTTTTGGTTCTATATTGTTAAAATATTGACAATTCTGATTCAATTTCGGTTAACCATTTAAAAAAATCGGCGATTAACCAAGTGGTAATACCTGTTGCCACCTCGCCCGGAAGCAAGCACCAACATCGTGTCTCTATCTCTCTTCTCTTTCTCATCTCTCTGCAATTTTTATTTTGAATGCATAAAAGTTCCAAAAAACCGAGCTACGGTTACTCGGTTGACTGATTAACCGATTAACTGGTAGCATCAGTTCAGTTTCGACTTGGATATTTAAAACCGATCGGATCGATTCGATTAAAAAAAATCCCACACCCCTAGGTCCATCACATTTCTCGTAGATGGAGCAAAACCATGGTATTAGGTACATGGATTTGGTATTAGTGTAAATGGGTTTGACTTCGTTTCGGGTTTTGGACTTCACGCCTGTCATGGATGAGGTTCAGTGTCTTCCAAGCATTCAAGGGTGTATATTCTTTTGTCACCCCAGACCCACAGCCAAATCTGGCTTGGGGTCATTCAAAATTTAACAAATTCTCAGTCCAACTTGACCCAAATTGCATAGCTAGCCCACCTTGTTCCACTTCGTTCCCCTACAATGCCTACACCACACTGACTTTCTATACTCAAAGGATATGGCCAAATCAGGTCAGGTCCGGATTGAGCTCAGCCCATGCCCATACTAAATCTGACCCATTGACAGTCCAGTCCAATCTATTACTTCACCACCCTTCTTAGAATATTTCTTGTTTCTGTTTGGCCTGGTGCCAGATTTAAGATCCAGATTCAGACTGGACGATTGAACTAGTGAACCGAGATGTTTGATGGTTTTTAGGGTCTGAACAATGAACAATCTAAGCAGCCGGTTGAACAGTAAAATCATGAACCTATCAGCTTTCAGGAGAATCTTCAGAGCCTTCTGCTTGGATGTGCGCCTGTGCCACCTCCATCTCACATACTCGCTTGTCGCTTCAAATCCATATCCTACTCATTTTGAAAATACTCTTGTTTAATCAGTCCACCTCTAGGGTGGAATTAGGATTTTTAGACTGAATCTTAACCGTGGATTGATACCAAATTTATGGGTAGGATAATATCTTTCTTTTTTTGGGCGACGGGGGAGAAAAGTTCACATCTCTACTCCACAACTTCTCGTCTCACGGCACATTCCCACCATGTATTGAGAACACCTCCCGATGATAACATCATTAGATCTGATATTATCATCAGGAGATATTCTCAATACATGACATGAATGCGTTGTAGGGCAGAGATGTGAATTCATCTAAAAATCCCTTTTTTTTTCTTGAATGGAGTTTGACTTTGACCTATCCATGTGAAACCAGAAGCCTGGAAAAATATAATAAAGAAATGTCCATGTGAAGACAAATTGATGGTACCACATCCACATTACCTAACCACAAAAAATAAAATTGAAGGGGAATTCCATGAACTCGAGACCTCTCGCACCCTAAGCGAGAATCATACCACTAGACCAAATGCCCTCACTTGTAAATAGTTAAAGTGTCTATCTATTTGAAGGCGGAAAACTCAACCAAATTGGTTTCTTTCCTTTAAATTGCAACTCACCGTGATAAGATAAAGCAGGATATATTTGAAGCCCACCAACTGTTCT